TCGGGTTGGGTATGCTATGCTACTTAGACGTGTTCGGTGTAGCGCGGCAATGAATCGCGAGGGCCGAACGCACACTCACCGGGGGTGTACGTACCGACTTGGGTTGACATTTGGGCAATCGTGCAGCTCATACAGCACAACGAACAGGCAAAATCTTCCCACTCGCTGCCTTGGATTCGGTAGAGAGTTCGCACTTTAGTACGAAGCGCCGTCACGAAGCACACGAGCGCCATGCACAGCAGCAGGGACACAATCCCATAGCCTCCCATACGCCTGGTTTGGCTTTCGTGGACGTCGTCGTCGAACGTCTGCTGGTTCTCCCTGTGCATGCGCCAGTCGTCAATGCCGTTGAAGAGGTTCTCGAGCACAATTATGGTAGCGACGCCGACGAGGACGGATTTGTAGCCACCATAGACTCCGAGGCGAGACGTGATTTGAGCCAGCGACACACATGGGCAAGCCCATGCCATGAGAGCTACGACATAGGCAAGCTCTTTAGCGGCGAACGTTGCATTCATCGTACCATTGGGGAAAATATTTTGGAGGCACTCAAATACACCAGCTTTCCAGAATTGCGGTCCGTCGCCCGGTTGCGGGATTCCCATGTTGCGATCCGACATGTACTCGCCTCGAATGGCCTCAGGCTGGACGTACACAAGCGGCACTTGCATCGAGTGCAAGTTTGACGACGCAGGGGTCGCCAGCGGCGTGCATTCTCCAGTTTGTTTCATTTTTGTAAGTGCCGTGGCCTCATCATGCACATTGCCATTATCCACGTCGTCGAATGGCGCACTACCCGCCAACATGGTCAAAGGGTATGTACGAGTAAATATAGCGTCCAATGACTGTAGAACCGGCAAACATGTCAATCGTATCTTATCCACCATTTTCAGCCAGACGAAGGCGAGACATCAATCTATCGCGACATGGATTTCAACATGGTGGTGTGGCTTAGAACCATCCAAAAACGTGCCGAACTACCACCGATGGCATACGAGCTATCATGAATCCGTGCTTGAGCGTGAAACGCGCAGGTGCATTCCACCTGCAGCACAGTTAATCTCAGCGTACTGTCATGCGTCGGCCAGCAATCTGACAAGATTTCAACTTCAAATGGCAAAAATTAATACTCCCAGTACGAACGAGGCGTATGCGATAGTAGTGGAGAAGGCCGTGGCCCTTGAAGATCGATCGTACAACGTTAAAGTTACGCCTTACAGCCGCGCCGGTGACGACATCCGCACTGCCCGGCACCGTCGCCAATGCGTATTATTTATTACAAGGTTGAAAATGGTCGTAATAAATAGACAATTGTCTACTACGTAGTATTTATTCCGAATTGCTTAAAATCCAATCGCATTGTTTCGATTGGCTAAAAAATAAAGTATACCAACCGGTTTCCACATGATCAACGACTTTGTCCAGTTCTGTAGGCATAATAAAGCAAACCGTACTACTGTATTAATACTACTGGTATGGGTAAATTGAATATTGAACGTCAGATTGGAGGCGAAGTGCGCTGAAAAATTTCGAAGTGCGCTGAAAAATTTCGTGGGTCGGGATGCTCGTGCGATCTCACGGGGCGATGCAGCGCCTCGCCAAATCTCCATGGGTCGGGATGCTCGTGCGATCTCACGGGGCGATGCAGCGCCTCGCCAAATCTCCATCTCCTGGTCTTTGTTGGCTAATAACGGGGATCTTTCAATCCAAGATGCATGGTTCATCATGCACACCAACTGACACAAAACAGATCAAAATGATTTCCGACGATGTAAGCCACATATGCAATGGACCGGAATTCTCTGGGCCGTCTGCGTAGCACGGGTGCTTCTCTCCATACACCATGTCCCTTTGACACTTGACTGCACGTCGAAATGGAATTTTTACGCCGCCACGACCCCAACCATCAGAATTTTGATGACGCCAGCCGTCCGTGGTCATTCAGAATCCACTCCATGAAAGATATCCGGATATTGCTCGCCATGGTCCGGATATGGAGGTCGTGAGATTGGTGGGCTCACCTGCGTCGTTGGCGACGATGGCGTATGGAAGCGTTCTGTGGCTAGACGACGAAGAGAGCCTTGTGTTTGACTTCGAAGCGATCTTACCGACCCTCCATGAGCCCACACCGGTGATTCTCGTGGACGAGGATGGGAAGAAAGACTTCAAACGAGGAACGGTCGTGTGTCGGCATTGGCTGCGCGGATTGTGCATGAAGGGCGACAACTGCGAGTTTCTCCATCAATACGACATGTCCAAGATGCCCGAGTGCCGCTGGGGCATGGAGTGTCAAGTACCCGAGTGTCCATTTCGCCATGTCCCGGATGAAGATCGCATGGAGTGTGCGTTTTACAAACAGGGGTTTTGCTCCCACGGTAGCGCGTGTCGATATCGCCACGTCAAGTTACCACGCGAAGAATGCCCCGTCATTGCTGACTTTAGCTTGCAGAGCAAAGTTGCTGAAGAAGAGAGCGCGAAGCGCCGCAAGGCACAGGTACATCCATCCATGCCAGCACCATCCCTCTTATCGCGTCATGTTGTAGCCCGTCAACGAATTTTTCAAGATCGCGATATGCAAGCATTGGGAAAAGCAAGGCACGTGTCCGTTTGGGGAGGAGTGTCATTTTGCCCATGGCGAGAAGGAACTCCGTCCGTTCCCCAAGGATACACATGGCGGTGGTGGCGGCAATCACCACACGCCTTCTGCTCATGCTGCTCCTCACAAGGCCCCTGAAGCGCCCCCTTCATTGGTTCTGCCTGACGCGGAAGGGACGTCCACGTACATTTTGCTGCGATCCCATAGTTACCAGAACTTGGCGCAGTCGGTACACCATCAAAAGTTTGCGGCTGACGGTGCAACCCTCCAAGCGATCCAGGATGCCATGACGATGGCCGATCAGGTTTGGCTTTTCACTCGTCGATGCTGCTCCTGCATGGACGCACTGGCTGATGCACGATTTGTCCAGGTCTTTTTGTTTCTCTCGGTGTCCCCGAGCTATCACTTTCAAGGTGTTGCCCGCATTGTCCAAGTGCCGTCGGATGACTCGGGAGTGTCTCTGGCGGAGGGCACCGTCCCGTTCCACCAGTGGCGCGGTGTGTTTGGCGTCGAGTGGCTTCGGACGTGCGAGATTCCGTACGAATCGGCAGACACGATTGCAACATCCAAGAATGCAGCGTTGTCGAAACTGTACGCACCTAGTTGTGTCGTTGGGTCTTTACGTCGCGTCGAAGTCACATTTGAGTTATTGCTAGACCGGACGGAACGGAACTCACGAAAGAGTGTGGCCACGCCCTCCTCGACAAAATGTTTTTCCACCCGATGATCCGGCTCCACATGAAGTCGGTCGAAGACGAAGGCATCCTCCCCGGCGGCGCGTGTGAGCTCGCCAACCGCCGCCGCCATGCGGCGGAAAGCATTGCCAACTTTAACGACCCCGCGCGATTCATGCCATGCGCCCATCTGTCGCACCGGTGGCAAGTTGACCTGCCTGGCTACGTCTTTGCGTGCAACGGCGCCACGATCGACGAGAGCTTTGGACGGATGCTCTTTGGCCTGGCCAAGGACCAGGTACTACTGCATGCTTCACTGTGATTGCATCTCACGACAGGTGTGAGCAGGAACAAGTCGCGATGAAAAACGTCCAAGTCGGAACCCCATTGTTTCTGCTCAACATGAGCAATCGGCACGTCTTGGGCATGTTCGAGGCCGTGACCCCCGTCGGGATGAATATCGTGCCGAACGCGTTCACGGCGGGGCTGCCGCCGGGCACGATGACGCCATTTCCCGTGCAAGTCCGGTTCCAGTTTGCCTTTGACGCTCCACCGCTCCTGAACGACCTGATCAAGGCCGTGCCGGGCCTGGAGCGGGGCATTCACATTGGCCCTTTGTCTCTCGCAGCTACCCAGACGCTTGCGAACGTGTGCGCAGAAAAGTGCGGCGCAACCAACCTGAATGAAGCTGGCGAGAAGATCGAGAAAAAGGCCAACGAAGAGCACTTTGTCGTTGGAATCGAAGAAGACAAGGAGTTTGGCGTTGTCCAGAAAATCCTTGGTCCACAAGGCAGCTACATCGATCGCATCGTGACGGATGCCGGCGGGAATGCCAATGTACGTTTGCGTGGACGCGGGTCCGGTGTGCTCGAGGCCAACGGAGAAGAAGCCAAGGACCCCTTGACGCTGGTCGTGTCGGCCGACAACGAGCGCAGCTTTCGGATTGCGTGTGACGCGTCGAGGAATCTCCTTGGGTCCGTCCATCGTGACTACCAAGCATATCTCCACAGCAAACACCGCGGCGGTCCCGGGGGAGGGGGGTTTCCAGGATTCCCTCCGAATATGCCCATGATGGGAGGACGTGGCGGCGGCATGCGCGGACCTCCCCCGCCGTTCCGTGGACCCAGAGGGCCGCCTCCAGCCGGGGCCAGCCGAGCTCCCCCGCCTCCGCACCGCCGATAGACGTCTAACTTAAAAATACCAACCCACCCACCAGTCTCTCAAAGAAGTCGCCCCCAATGAGGAACCACCAACTGTGCATGCAGGTGCCTGTGGCTGCAACGAGTTCGGCGAAATGCCTCGGTCGATGCAAGGTAAGATGAGAAGGAAAGAGCGAAAGTTACGACGATGCACTTTTGGGACGTCCGCCCTTCTTGATGGCTGTAGACCCAATCGCATGGCCGCTAGCCACGTGGTGGCACGTTGCGAACTTTCGACGCTCGGTAGGATGGCCATTCAACGCAGGAGAAAGCACCGCCACATGGCGTGGCAAGATCAAGGCAGTGGTGTCAAAGATCGCGTGCCGAGTCATGGAATGCGTCGAGAAGAGGGCAGAAGCAAGCGACTCCATGCCAGTCTTATCGTGTTGAACGCGAGATGGGACAAGAGCGATGGCGCAGCAAGGTCCAGTCGCTCCAGTAAGAGTTGCATAATGTCGAGAACACAGGACCTTTCAGCGGTGGGACGTCGCGATGCCAAATCTGAGGAGAGTTTGGATCGCAGGATGAGCCGGTGGCGACAGTGGGAATCGTGGTGGTCGCAGGATGAGCCGGTGGCGACAGTGGGAATCGTGGTGGTGAGGAGGAGCCAGGACGTGGCGAATGACAGAGCCACGACTCGTTGCCCTTGGTCGACGTCGGCATGCGTGGTGCCATGGGCAGTGGCCAATCCGAAACCACTTACGCACGGACGCCACGTTCTGCAGCCAGGAGTCGGATCATTCCGACCAGCATTTTGCAATCCACAACCTCATGCGACGGCTTTCCAAACGTGCCACCGCCCAGATGTTGGTCGACTTGGTCGCGCACCCGGACCCGCGGCACCACTTGGTCCATCGCCCGCTCTTTCGCTCTATGGCACCAAAGATCGCAGTCCCCCAGAAACTCGTCCACATCTCCAACGACCCCGACTACACCCACATGAGGTAGTAGACTAGCCGCTTCCATTCGCAACCTGTGTGGTTGACACCGTAGCCGCGTAGTGTGGACGTGTTCCAGAACACGGGATTTGCGATCGGGGCATCGCATTTCATCCATTCGCTCCAGGGGGCGGGCAAGTACGAGATCCTCGAAGTGTACGGCCACAAAGACAAGACGTTTACAACGAGTGTGGTTCAATTTGGGGTCAACCTGTGTGGTCACGAAGGCGTGGGTACGATGTTGTTAGTTGCTCCTGGAGTTGGAATGACGTGGGTTCATGGTAGTGCATGGGGGGTGCATCGCCACCGTCATCGACGAGCTCTTTCAGTGGACTGCGTACTGGACAACAGGGCGCATTGGGTACACGGCCAATCTGAACGTCAATTACCGACGTCCATTGCCCGTCGAGCGCCCCGGCATCCTCACGGCCGAGTTCGAAAAGAAAGACGGACGAAAGGTTCGACGGATCAATATATGGACATGTCAGGTCATGCTTTCTCATGCGTAGCTATACATGAAGGCGAGACTCGAGGATGGCGACGGACACCTCTACACGGAAGCCACGACCCTCTTCTTACTGCCCAAGGACGCTGTCGCAGCCGACGAAGCCTAACGAACTCCATCGAACCTGACTGCACCACCCCAACCAACATGTCTATCTAAATGGCCAACCTCAGGATCGAAGTTCCTCTTTAACTTGAAATTTGAATGGAAATGAAATGGCGAAATTGAGCAATAAATATTTAAAAACACCCACCAAAATATCCTCAAAATTCAGCTTTAAATCGTTGAAAACACCCAAAACATGACCAAAATATCCTCAAAGTACTGTATATCCGGAAAATTGTCGGATTCAGCACAATTTTCCCAAAATCAGCGAAATTGTTTGGGTAACCGCCGTCGAGTTGTCCAAGCATTCGGTGTTTTGAATGTGGTTGCGAGGATCGTCCTGCGCTCGACGCCTCGTTCCTCACGTCAAGCAGATGAGCACGGTCGCGACGATCGATCAAGAGTCCACGCGTTTGGCTTTTGCCGATATTATTGTACGTTCTCTTGCGTCGTCATATCTCTCAGCCGAGGACAAACGATGCACAGGGCGACGAGAGCTTGCGAGGTAAATGGATGAGCCAAGGCCCAATTCTCGAGCGCATGGACATGATCGGCGCGGCGATTGCTTGCAAGTACGATACAGAAACTATTCTTTAGCATTGCCATTGCGCCCATGTTCCACAACCGAATAGGGCCACTCAGGGTGGGTGTGCCACCGTGAGTTTCGATCAAGTCGAGTCGCACGTTCCCGTGTATCACGGCGACTTGTTTCAACTGGAAGGACAGATTCTCAATATCAACAACACGTCGACGTCAATCCATGTACCGTCGTCATCCTGCTACATGCATCACTTAACTACGCTCATGTAGCTGTCAGGGTATCGCGTGGACATGTTGACTGGGACTACGACACACACGCACGACGCGATCCTGACTTTTGTCGCGGTTGATAAGGATGGACGTCCGCGATCGGGACTGCCCAGGCTCGTGTCTCCATCGAACCCTTACTTTGTTTCATTGATGTGCGTTCTTCCAACGACCCAACTATACCAAGACATCCATTTGACGTACGATTTTGCAGGGCCAAAAAAGCTGCTCAGCGAAAGGAACTCGGTGCACGATGGCGCACGATCCAAGAAGAGGTCGACAAGCTTCCATACGTGAGCAAAGACATGCTTGTCGTGAACCCGCTCGACGCGACGCGGACAACTTTCGTGCCGGTCAAGGCCACCCTGGTTGAAGTTCAGAACTTGTTCTTGCCCAAGCACTTGAACATGAACAACACGATATTTGGCGGCGAAATCCTCCAGTGGATGGTGCATCTGCCGTCGTCGACGTTTATGTTTCTGACTTTACGGTCCTAGGACAAAGTCGCCGTCTTCTGCGCGCGCAAGTTCACCAAGAACGTCCACATGGCGACGATCTCAATGAATCGCATTGTGTTTCAGCTGCCCATCACGACCAACGACGTTGTGAGCATGAAAGCCCGCGTCGTCATGGCACGGTATGAGCTTGGATTGTCGTGCATCAAACTGTCACACATGCGCACAGTCGCCACACGTTGGAGGTGGAAGTGGAAGTGTTCATCGAGCGCCTCGGCAAGTCGGAGAAGCGCAAGTCGCACACGGCTTACTTCACTGTAATCAACCTCAACATTGGTCAGCTCAAAGACCCAATCAAGACAGGGCTGTTCGTCGACGAAGACGACCAGGAGAGCATGCGCCTCCTCCTCAAGGCACAACGGCGGTGGGCATTTCAAACCGAACAGAACTCTGTGCACGACGTGCCGCCACTCCCCATGACATCCAACCTTTAAGAAGCTCCTAGAGTCGAGCTCAGAGCGTAATCGAGACTTTCCGAGTCTCTTGTCGACCTCCTTTTCCACTAACCTCGGCCCGCACTCTCGCTGCACCTTACAGTGTGGCAGGGAAGTTCCGTGGAAGTATCCCTGCCGTTGTAATATCCGAAATCTATGATAATTATCCGGATATTTCGCTAGAGGCGACAAGAAGCAGGCTAAAAGCGACATGCTGACACGTGAGGAATGGAGCGTGGCATTGGCGCCCCTGTGGAAAGAATACTACATGACAGACGACGACAGCGACATCAACGATGCCGAGATGCTTCCCGCGTTGCTTGGATTCAAGGACATGCTGAGTGAGAGTCGCAAGCCTGACGGGTTCTTGGCCCACGTTCGTGCTGCACTGCCACGTCATGTCGTCCTCATGACTTGCCGTGTAGTACAATTTATCCGATGCGGATGTGGTCATGGTTCCATGCAAGCAATTGTTTTCATTGTTCGGCGATGATGCGTACGATTGTTTCGTGGTGGGGTACGACCACTACTTGCGGAGTTTGGGGTTGGCGCTGTGCATGGTGCGTACCTACGTACACGACGCACGTTTTCTCACAGTCGTGTGGGCATTAGCTGCGCCACGAAGAGGAGCTGGACGCGTCCGAATATGATATCCATCCCCGTCCGCGCTTGGAGATGAATGCGGAAAAGATCAACGTGCGGGTAGTTGGGCTGGAGCCAGAGACGTCAATCGGAGACTTGAAGGCGCACGTTGTGGACCATTTCGTGTCGGTCACGGGCACTGTCACACGTGTGAACGCGATCAAGCCCCTCGTCGTGCAGTGCGAGTTCCTCTGTGAAAAGTGCGAAGGGGTCACGCAGCGGTACTTCCCGGACGGCAAGTACGACCCGCCGGCGGCTTGCGGGACCTGTCGGAGTAAATCAACGCTCATTCCGAACCGCAGTGCAGCCAAGACGGTGGATTTCCAAAAGATCAAGTATGCTTCATTTCGTCACAGTGGTATTTGCGAACGAATGGGTCATCATGGGTAGAATCCAAGAAGTCGACAACGGAGACGCCGCTGCGGGGCGTATCCCGCGTATGGTGCGTCGAGCACTTTCATGGAGAAAACGTCGAACGAGGGGTCAAGTTGTGACATGCATCGTTCAGGTGGAAGTGGAGCTGACAGAAGACCTGGTCGATTCGTGTGTTCCTGGCAGCATTGTGACCATCTGTGGGGCGGTCAAAGCAGTAAATTCGGAGGTACACAGCGGCCGATTTGGCAAACAAGCGCAAGCGAGTAGCTTGTATGTGCTCTACATTGTCGCCAACTCTGTCGTAACCCTCAACCAAGCCGAGGTAGCGACCTAAGTCAGGTCGTTGGGGCTACAGATGGACTTGAATCTACGTGCAATGTAGGCGTCACCGACGGAAGACACAAACGAGTTCTCGGATCAAGCAAGTGAGTTCCTACTTGGCGATCTCTCACTGCGATGTTTCACGTCGTAGGACTTGGATGCGATTTGCAAAATCGCCCACGACGACCATGTCTTTGATCGCCTCGTTCATTCGTTTTGCCCTGGCATTTATCGCAACGAACTGGTCAAGGTACGATCGCCTCCTTGTTCAACGCTGAGTTTGAATTTACGGACAACTGGGGACCTGGGCGGTTGTGTACGTAGGCAGGCCTGTTGTTGGCGCTGTTCGGAGGAGCCCAGAAGAAGGAAGACAACGCAGTGTTCACCCGAAGTGATTCGCATGTCCTGCTCGTGGGGGACCCAGGTCTCGGGAAGAGCCAGGTAGGGGGTTCGGACCTCCCTACACAAGTCCCAGTGGCATCTGAGACGTCGAGATGCCGATTTGATTGAGTGCCGTGTAGATGTTGCGTGCTGTGTCTATGATCACTCCTCGAGGTGTATATGTCGGCGGCAACACAGCAACGACTACAGGACTCACAGTTACCATGGTGAAAGACTCGTCCGGGGATTACGCCTTGGAAGCTGGGGCGCTCGTGCTGGCCGACCAGGTCGTGCCAGCCTCGTTGACCAAGTTCTGGTTCTGACAACATATTGTAGGGCGTGTGCTGCATCGACGAGTTTGACAAGATGGCGTGCGACTACCAGGCGTTGCTGGAAGCGATGGAGCAGCAGAGCATCAGCATTGCCAAAGCCGGCATCGTGTGCAACCTCAACGCTCGCACGTCCGTCATAGCTGCTGCGAATCCATCGGGGGGTCATTACAATCGCAGTCGCAGCGTGAGCGAGAACCTCAAAATGAAGGCAGCGTTGGTACGGTGTTCTCGTTCCAGTTCACAATGCCATGAGTCCCTGTAGCTGTCTCGATTCGACTTGATCTTTGTGCTCCTCGATCGTCCGGATGCGTCAAGGGACCACATGCTGTCCGAGCACGTCATGCACAACCATTTGGCCAACAAACACAAGCGCCAGCGACGAGATGACCCGCCGAACACCGCGTAAGTTGCTTGCAAAGTGTGATCCTACGAGGCTCACGCTTGAATCGTGCTTAGACCGCACTCGTCCGAGCCCAACGACATGACCCTGAAACAGCGCCTGGTTGCCAACTTTCCTACCATGCACGAAAATCCCATCAGTTTGTACCACATTCGGCGGTATATTGCATACGCTCGCAAGTACATCCACCCGCAATTGTCTCCCGAAGCGCGGCACTACCTTCAGCACAAGTATCTCCAAATGCGGTCAGACGCAGACACGTCGGCCGACGGCATCCCCATCACGATGCGACAGTTGGAATCGCTCATCCGTCTCGCCCAAGCCCGTGCCAAGATCGAACTGCAGGATATTGTTACGGTGCAACACGCGTACGACGTGGTCGAGATCATGCAGGAGTGCTTGTTGGACACGTACACGACAGAGGAGGGCAACTTGGATTTTGGACGAAGCGGTGGCATGAGTCTCGCGAAGAAGGTCAAGGCGTACGTGGCTCGACTGCGAAAATGCGTTGTCCAGCGCAATAGCCAGCTCTTTTCCATGGACGAGCTGCTCCAAGTGGCCAACAGCATGGCGCTGCAAGTCGACGACTTTCGGGACTTTGTCGAGATTCTTCGGAACGAGTGCTTCGTGCTCAAGCAAGGCCTGAACGTGTACAAGGTTCAAATTTAAGACCATGTCTAGTTTTCGACACAATGCGAACCTGGTGTGGCTTCCCCAAGTCCAAACCGTTGATCGACTTAATCGGCGTGCTGCTGGCATGCCACGTCATGGTGTGTAGTGTTGGGGGATCAGACGTGTCGAGGGTGCATACCAAGGTGTGGTATGCCATGGCTGAGGACAGTTGTGTCCACGGCCCACGCGTCAGTACCGAGTGGACAGCAGCGGTCGTGCCACGTCATGGACGGTCGGTCGGTGGATGGCCGAAAGGTCGTCGGTTCGTGTGCAGCCAATGGGAGGCGGCGGGAAAGTCTATCGGTGCATTATCCGGTCAACTGAAAATCTAGAAGGGGTGACAGGGCAGTTGGTGCGTTGTGATTGGGTATTGCGAAATTGGGGGCGCGTGATTGGCGGACAGGGCAGGGTTCGCTTTCGAAGATTCTCGAAGTGCGCGAGGCGCGGCGGCGGGAGGCCACTTTTCAATTTCCAATCAAAGGCACAAGAGCAGCAGCATGTCGAAGGAAGGCGCGGAAACTTTTGCGTTCTCGGCGGACATCAGCCAATTGTTGAGCTTGATCATCAACACGTTTTACTCGAACAAGGACATTTTCTTGCGTGAATTGATCTCGAACGCGTCGGATGCGTTGGACAAGATCCGCTACCAGTCGTTGACGGACGCGTCGGTGTTGGACAGCGACAAGGACTTGGAAATCAAGATCATTCCGGACAAGGCGAACGGCACGTTGACCCTCCAAGATTCGGGTATTGGTATGACCAAAACCGACTTGGTGAACAACTTGGGGACGATCGCGAAGTCGGGCACGAAGGCGTTCATGGAAGCGTTGGCCGCCGGTGCCGACATCTCGATGATTGGTCAGTTCGGTGTGGGTTTCTACTCTGCGTACTTGGTCGCGGACCGTGTGACCGTGCACTCGAAGCACAACGACGACGAACAACACGTGTGGGAATCGTCGGCCGGTGGTTCGTTCACGGTGTCGGTGGACACGTCGGAACCCATCAAGCGCGGTACTCGCATCGTCTTGAAGTTGAAGGAAGACATGTTGGAGTATCTGGAAGAACGCAAGTTGAAGGACTTGGTGAAGAAGCACTCTGAGTTCATCTCGTTCCCCATCAAGTTGTACGTCGAAAAGACGACCGAAAAGGAAGTGACGGACGACGAAGACGAGGAAGAAGAAGAAAAGGAAGGTGACGACGACAAGCCCAAGGTGGAAGAAATCACCGAAGGCGAAGACAAGAAGAAGAAGACCAAGAAGATCAAGGAAGTATCGCATGACTGGAACCACTTGAACGGCCAGCGCCCGATCTGGATGCGCAAGCCCGAAGACGTGACCCACGAAGAGTATGCTGCGTTCTACAAGTCGTTGACGAACGACTGGGAAGAGCATGCTGCCGTGAAGCACTTTGAAGTGGAAGGGCAATTGGAATTCAAGGCCTGCTTGTTCGTGCCCAAGCGTGCGCCGTTCGACATGTTCGAAGGCGGTGCCAAGAAGAAGTTGAACAACATCAAGTTGTATGTACGCCGTGTGTTCATTATGGACAACTGCGAGGAGTTGATGCCTGAATACTTGAGCTTCGTCAAGGGTGTGGTCGACTCGGAAGACTTGCCGTTGAACATTTCTCGTGAAACGTTGCAACAGAACAAGATCTTGCGTGTCATCAAGAAGAACTTGGTGAAGAAGTGCTTGGACATGTTCAACGAGTTGGCGGAAGACGCTGAGAAGTACAAGAAGTTCTACGAAGCGTTCTCGAAGAACTTGAAGTTGGGCATCCACGAAGACTCGACCAACCGCACGAAAATTGCCAAGTTGTTGCGTTACCACTCGACCAAGTCTGGCGAAGACCAAACGTCGTTCGACGACTACATTTCTCGCATGCCTGAAGCTCAGCCCGGTATCTATTACGTGACGGGTGAATCGAAGAAGGCCGTCGAGCACTCTCCATTCATTGAGAAGCTGAAGAAGAAGGGCTATGAAGTGTTGTTCATGGTGGACCCCATTGACGAATACGCCGTCCAACAGTTGAAGGACTACGAAGGCAAGAAGTTGATCTGCGCCACGAAGGAAGGCATGGACTTGAAGGAAACGGACGACGAAAAGAAGGCGTTCGAAGAAGCCAAGGCCGCCACCGAAGGCTTGTGCAAGCTGATGAAGGAAGTGTTGGACGACAAGGTGGAAAAGGTCCAAATCTCGAGCCGCATTGTCGAATCTCCTTGCGTGTTGGTGACTGGCGAATACGGCTGGTCGGCCAACATGGAACGCATCATGAAGGCGCAAGCGCTTCGCGACAGCAGCACGTCGTCGTACATGAGCTCGAAGAAGACGATGGAAATCAACCCGTTGCATCCCATCATCAAGTCGTTGCGCGAAAAGTCGGACGTGGACAAGAGCGACAAGACGGTCAAGGACTTGATCTGGTTGTTGTACGACACGTCGTTGTTGACGTCTGGTTTCTCGCTGGACGAACCCACTACGTTCGCCGGCCGCATCCACCGCTTGATCAAGTTGGGTTTGAGCATCGACGACGATGACGTTGCCGATGAAAACTTGGACGACTTGCCTCCTCTTGAAGGCGAAGAAGGTTTGGAAGAATCCACCATGGAAGAAGTCGATTAAATGCATCCATACAGTCCTCCTATCTATCCTTTTTCTAGTCGCTTTGTTGTGATGCAGCCGTCGAGACGCTATGTCAAGGAGAAATGCTGATCATACGATTGCTAGCTCAGCACTGTAAGGACAAGGATTCCTAGTTTAGCGCATTGAGGACAATAAAAGACTCATTTGTTGAAAAGTCGCTG